AGTCGCTGGAGAAGGATGTCATGCTGGGTAAGGTGGAGGGTCAGAGAAAGAGAGGAAGACCCCTAACGAGATGGATCAGCCAGGTGGCGTCATTGATGGCATCAAGTGTGGCAGCGGTAGTGAGGTTGGTCCAGGATCAGACATTGTTTCGTTCTGCTGTGCATGGGGTCGCTATGAGTCGGTTCCGACTTGATGGCACCTGACAACAACAACAACAATTTATAATGGAAATTCAAAGGGTAAAGAATACTATAGCAATCTTAAAGAAAAATAAAATTAAAGGAATTAAATGACCAGATGTCAAGACTTAATGATATTTGTACAATTAAAAAAAAAGGTGACCAGAAGCACACCCACAGATACTGAATTTTGCCAACAGTGACAATGCAGTACAGTGAGAAAAGGATGGTTTTGTGATAAATGGTTCTGAGTCCAATGGTTCACCATAGACGAATAATGAATCTTGACTGCTGTCTTACCCTGTTTGCCAAAATCAGTTCCAGATAAACTATAGGCTTAAACATGAAAGGTAAAGCAAAATTTTTGGAACATAACAAAGGAAAATATCTTCATGATCTTGGAGTAGAAAAAGACTTTTAAATTAGTTTACCAAAAGCACTAATCATAAAAGAAAAGATTGATAAACTGACTCATTAAAATCAAGACCACAGGCTCACCAAAAGATCATTATATCAGTGAAAAGGCAAGCCACAAAAGAAAAGATCTCTGATATATTTATGAATATATAAAGAACTCATTACCAATTTAAAAATGGGTCATAAGTCTGAACAAGTACTTCACAGAAGAGGACATCAAAAGGTCAATAAGAGGTATTCAACATTAAGTCATCAAGGAAATACAAATGAAAACCATACAGAGCTATAATCACAGAATGGCTGGAACTTTAAAAAATCTAATAATACCAATAGAATACAACATTTTCTATGAATGCAATCTTGGGAAGAAAGACAACCTAAGTCTTATTAAATTCTAGATCAGGGATGATCCACAGGCAAAATCTGTCCTGTCGCCTGATTTTATAAATAAAGGTTTATTGGATACAGTGAAGTTCACTCATTTAAGTATTTTCTGTGACTGCTTTTGCCCTATAACAGCAGAGTGTAGTAGCTATAGCAGAGACCATATGGCCCACAAAGCTTTAAATATTTTATCAGTGTTATCTTCTGTATAACCATTTATCAAAACTGTTTTCCAATTTATAGTGAATACAAAGGACAGAGGAGCATATTAAAGTACACAGGGGGATACAGAACTGGCCATAGGCTATAGTTGTTGGGGCTGGCTAATGGGAACATGAGAGTTCATACAATTCTCTATACTTTCTACATATATCTGAATTTCTTCATAATAAAAAGTAAAACAAAATTAATACTAAAAATAGTAGAAACCAGTGATCCTGAGTGTTGGTGAGGATGTGGAACAACTCGAAATCTTACACACTGTTAATGGACGTGTACATTGGTATCATCTCTCTGGAAAACTATTGACCAAGCATATACCTTATGGCCCAGCAATTTCATGTCTAGATATGTATTCCTCAATGACATGTACACCAAAAGAAATGTTCAGAGCAGTACTAGTCATAATATCCAACTCAAATGTCTACCAATAGTAGAAGAGATCATTAGAGTGGAATGGAATTTACTTGAAATACTAAACTAACTAAAATGAAAAAACTGCTGCATGCAGTGTGATACTGAATGAAAGTGTGTATGTGTGGCTCATGTGCCACCGAGTAAATTCCAACTTATTGCCACCTTACATGATAGAACAAATGTGCCTCATAGGGTTTCTTAGGCTATAATCTTTATGGGAGCAAGTCACCAGATCTTTTCTCTCTCAGAACTGCTGGTGGGTTCAAACCACTGACCTTTGGCTAACTATTGCGCCACCAGGATCCCTTGAATGAAAGTAGCCAGAAGAAGAGTTCTCACTATATGATTCCATTTATATAATGTTTTAAGTGGGCAACATAATCAATGATAATAAAGGTCAGAATTGTGGTTATTTTGTGGGGGATCACGATTGGGAGGGGGTGTGAGGGAGGCATCTATAACATTCCCTATCTTGATCTGGATAATAACTGCACGAGTGTGCTCACTATACAAAAAGTCATTGAGTTATACACTTATGAAGTATGTACTTTTTTGTAGGTATGTTATGTTTCAACAAAAAGTTTACTTAGTAACAAAGGTAGAAGCATTTGAAAAGTATGGAAGGAACATTAGAAAGAAAAAAATAATAAAAGGAGGGATAGAAAGAGAGGAACTGGAATGAATATACAAAAAGGGAGGAACAATAGTTGTTTATATTTGGTTTCAAAGCGATTGCAAAGCTATATAAATAAACTGCATGTTTTCTTTGTCCTCTAAATCTAGCTCACTTATCCCAATCTCCTACCTGCTTTCGATAAAAATAAGCTCATTCCACCAAAGCCCGAGATCCAGCTTCCAAAACAGTATCACGTGGGTGGACATTTATCATCAACAGCATTATATTCACATCCTATGATAGAAACATAGTATGGATGACTCCATAACTAATAAATACATCATACTAAGCACTGACTCTGTACCTCATACTATGTTGACTATGAACAGGGAAGATGTGTGGTGCGGTAGGCTCAGCACTTGGCTGTGAAGCACAAGGTTGGCAGTTCAAACTCACCAGTTGCTCCATGGAAACCCTGTACACAATGAGTTGGAATTGACTCAGTGGGACTTAACAACAACAGGCACTTAACTCTGTACCTCATACTATGCTGAATATGGAGAGGGAAGAAGTGAACAATAGGATTAGACTTTTGCCCTGCCTACAAAGTCCTGGTGTGGCATTGTAAGATAAGCACTGGATTGCTAACCACAAGGTCAGCAGTTGCATACACCAGCTGCTCCTCATAATCCTATATGGGTTCACTGAGTTGGAACCAACTCAACGGCACTAAACAACAACAACAAACACCAACAGAGAGTTTATATTTTTGTTGCTAAAATTAGATTCATGAATCAATTAGCAGATATTTCCTGAAAGAAAGACCAGCAGGGAAAAACAAAATGAAAAACAGCAGTCTGTGTGGCTATTACAAGAATAAGCAAGCTGTTCGCCTGGGAGCCATCAAGAAAAAAAAAAGAATCAATTAGCAAATAAGGCTTTGATTCTAGCTACTTTCATAGCAACTAAGGCAGCACTCCTGGTGGAGTCCTGGTATGGTGCTATGGGTTAATGCACCAGACTGCAATGCCGTTTGAACTGCAAAGTCAGCGGTTCAAGCTCACCAGATGCTCCTAGGAAACCCTATACAGGGTCGGTAGCTCTGGGTCAGAATTGACTTGACGGCACTTAACAACAAGGCAGCACTCCAATATAATGCTCAAATTATATAGGCAATAAGTACAATAGGAGTGCAGAGAAAGAAGAGAGATCAGCAGACTTCCGTGGTTTACAGGCATGAAGAATTTAAGGAAATAATTGCAAGGTAGAAACTTAGCAGAAAAGGAATAAATACAGTCATCTGGAGCATGTCACTGTGGTGATATGACATTTTAGTAAAATTAATCTGGAGTCCCAGTGTGGCACTGTAGGATAAGCACTGGACGGCTAACCACAAGGTTAACGGTTCAGACCCACCAGCTGCTGCTCAGAAACCCTAAACAGGGTCCTCATGAGTTGGAACTCACTGGATGGTACTTAACAACAAATCTGACAGGGGAATACAAAATGCAGTAGGGTAGAGAACAGTTAGAAGCAGCAAGACTAGTTAGAAAGTTATTATATAATTTATCTTTATTGATGAACATCAAAGTTACAATTAAAATACTAGGGACAGACAGGGGGTCTCATTTGACAAACACTATAATTGAAGAATTATCTTGCTTGTTCAACAGAAATACTGTGGGTGATAATGTTGTTGCTAAGTGCCATCCAGTATGCTCCTTGGTGGTGGTGGTGGTGGTGTGCTATGGTCTGA